AATCCCTAATATTCTGTGATTCTGTGACAACGGGAGCTAAGAGAGGATATCTGTTCACAGCCACAATTAGTAGAAGGCAATGGGACTTATATTGCCTTTCATATTTCCTCAGGATTTAAGCCAATCTGGTCCTTCACAAAGCCAAATATATATTGAATATATATACATATCTATTATATTATATTATATTATTTTTCATCTTTACATTACAAGGGTCCATCTGGAAGAATTGATTCACCCTACAAAACCATGAGAAAGGGAATTGTTAAACACTATTGTAGCAGCATCAGCTTCCAAAGAGTATATTTTCTGATAAAGTTCCCAGTTTTGCATATAGAAAGCCCTGGCTGAGGTTCATGGAAGCAGAATAACATTGGAATATCTGCCCAAACCACACAGAACAGCTGAATCTTCTGGGAATCACCTGATGCTAAGAAATCTGCATTTCTTTTACTACCTCCACAGATATTTATGGTGCCAAAGAACTTAGGGTGCCTGTGCTGGACAGATAGAGTCTGGGAATTTCATTATAACAATCTCTCTCCTGGTACCTTTTTCCACTGGATAATAATTTCTCCAGGCATTGAAAGAGGGAATTAGATTTAATATTTTATGATTTTTTTCTTTAATTATAAAGTCTTTTCATTGCTTACTGCCTGCTGTAACACACAGAACAGACAGAGTAAAGCAAAACCTCACTCATAACATTAGTGATCTAACTACAATTCTGCTCTTTACATCTTGTGAGGGTTAGAGTTGTCCTTTTGTTATATTTCTTGAGGGGGATGTTTAGCACAGTGGTCCAGGGCCTTGGCTTCTAGTCCACACTGTCATTAGAAATAATAAATAACAGCGACACTGGCTGCAGATATTAACCCATTAGATCTTCCTTGTGCTAGTTCCCAAACATACTTGTTTTCTGAATGCTAGGCAAGAAGCAGATGTTTCAGATGCTGCTTTTTTCTTCCTAAAAAAACCCCCCAAACCAAACCACATTTTTAATATCCATGCTCCCACAATCACAAATGGAATCATTCAGATGCCAAAAAAAAAAAAAACCAACCCAAAAAAACCCCCTCCAAAATAAACAATGCCCCCCCCCCAAGTTAATTAAAATGAAAATGTTGGTGGTAGGGGGAAAAGTGCTACTGTATAACACTGTACTGCTAATGTAAATGTCCAATTAACACCTCATCAGTTAATTACCGCTTTGAAAATTGGCAGAAGAGAGCTGGTGTAAAATATTTCCGGATGGAATTATCCACTTACTTGAGTGTTGTCTACAGTTTCTGAATAAACTCCAACCTAAATATATCACTTACTTCTCCACAATTACTTTGGTGCCCTTGGAAATGACAGAGCAAAGCTGCCTCTAGTAACCTTCATCTCTTTTCTTTCCCCAGGACATGCATGTTATCAGCACAGATGAGAATCAGGTGTTTGCAGCTGTTCAAGAGTGGAACCAGAATGACACATACAATCTGTATATCTCTGACACCCGAGGGGTGTACTTCACCCTGGCCTTGGAAAATGTCAAGAGTAGTCAAGGGCTGGAGGGGAATGTGATGATTGACCTCTATGAGGTATGTCATGACTCCAAATATCTCATTCTTATCTAAGGAGCTCACATGTTGCCAGTACCATTTCCTTCTCGCACGTCAGTTTTATAATATGCATATGAACAGCAGAGCCAAAAAGTAACTAAACACATAGTTTTATCTTCCTTTTACTTAGGGGCCTCAGTGCAATCAGCTGGGTTTCAAGGCCAGGTTTTACACAGGTGTTGAATTTAGGCCCAGCCTAATATTATGAACAGATTCACTGCTGTACTCTTCTGTAGTCTCCCAAGTGTAGAAGAGCTCATGGCTCTTTCATGCACAGGAAGATATGCATTGGAAGATGTAGTGGATAGTTCATTCAGTCCTTAAGTAGAACTGGTTAAGTTTCTCAGCCAAAGTCCTGCTGACCCACATTGGTCCAGCCTATGGCTCTGAAAGCTCCCAACACTCTGAATAGCATCATTCTCCAATTTTTATTGCATTTCTGACAGCCTGATCTCTTGTTTTAGGAGTAAGGAGAGACAGCAATTTTCAGCTCTCTTTGTCACCTTCCTCAGCTTGGACTATTCTGGGAACTGAAGTGATTTTAGATATGTCCTCTTGGGCTATCCCATGAGCATGGAAACTCAGCTACTTCACTTTGATATCCCTTTTACACCTGAACCTTTTTCTGACAAGTACATTCTGCTTAAGCTGACCTGTAAAAAGGCCAATTTACATTCTCTTCTATGACAACTGATCCTAAGAATAGGATTTTTAATGTGCCTTTGTACTTCTCTTTCTCTGCTGTCTGTTTTACTTTTGGAGACAGTACTCAGCTAAGTAGAAATTCAGTCCACAGCTGCTGTTTTGAGGGTCAGCTTTGTTTTTCAGGTCTCCTCCAGGGGATGTCCTGTACATTTAGAAAAAAGGCCATGAACTAGATCTGAGTTCCTTTGAAAATGAAGATGCTTCCCATATTTCCCCATCACTGTCTGAATGTTAGCTCTGCTGTATCATTTGCCTTCAGCTGTCCTTTATTTGGAAACCACAATGAATTGTCCAAACAGAGAGCCCAAGTGTTGTATATAAATGCAGATGAACTGTAGGAGGATAGGCACTGACATTTCAGTCATTTGGAGATTTTTTACTATTAATCTCTCTGCAGCACTGGCAGCCCATGGAAAAAACTGTTGCCTCTTATTACTGTCAGCTCAAGAAGCAGTTTCACTGCATTATGTAAAGGTGTCCTACATCCCAGGGGGAAAGAAGAGCTTTTGTTTTGTTTTATTAGGCTGACACCACACAGTAACCTAGATTGAAATTGATGGAATCAGACTTGTAACGTCATATCTGCTGATTATCTAGATAGAAAGAATATTGGCTGACACTGAACCTGGCACAAACCTTCCTTTCAATTTGATGTTCTAGCTGGAAGGGAACAGAAAGCCATCCAGTGTGATTCTCCCAGTAGAGCAATGATGAATGCTCTAGGGGTAAATGGAGATGAAGATGAGAGAAGAAAAAAAAATCCATAGGTAAATTAAAAGGAAGCAGAAAGACTGCAAAATGAGTCCTTCAGTGTGACAGTGGTATGTTTAGAAAAGCAAGATTGTTTGAGAAGACACCAGAGAAAGACCCATTAAAAGTGTATGTGTCTGTATGCATATTTGTCAGGTGTAAAAAGTAAGTTCTTCTGGTTGCATTGTAGTTATTGTATATGTTGAGATTCCTAAACTTATCAAGAATCAGGATTTAGAAGGTATCAAGGATAAATCTGCTCAATGATACTTAATGGGAAATTGCATTGGGCAATGAAGAGAAAACAGAAGTTCTTTAGTGGTACCTCATCATATTCTCTCTTCTCCTGTATGTCATCAGGAACTTTTCACTTGGAAGTTATATCAGTGTGTGGGCTCTTCTGCTGCTGGACCTTATAGAGAATGAGGAGACCACTCCTAGAGGGGCAGTATTCCCCCTTCTGCATGTTGAACAGAGCAAATTATGAGAATAGCTCTTCTTTCCATCACCTTCCAGTGCCACTTCATCAGTAGCACACTGTACTCAGCATTCAGTGGGTCTGCATTCACAAAAAAGCTGTCCTAGAGACCATCTCCTAGAGCAAAGGAAGAGCAAGAATCACTGGCCATTGAGTCTGAGTGCCTTTTCTAGTTCCTGCACCTCTCCAGTGGTGTGGTATGGCTCTGCTTGGCTCTGTAGTTGGACTGGTTCACAGCAAGACAATCCATGCCTGAAGTGATAAGAGATTGTGAGGAGATGTGTCTGTAGCTATGGTATATATGCCTATCACTCTGGGACTTACTTTTTTTTTAGCAGTATGCATCTTGGATGGGATTGATGTATGAAGTTGGTGATGGGGTGTGAAGAATGTGTTTTGTGTGTTCAAGTGTCTTGTATGAATCTTTTTAAAACTGTGGGCAGCATTTGTATCTGCACGCAATGCATTTGGAGTGGTGAGGATTGTCTACAAAGCCTGTGTGGGAGCTGATGGAGTACTTTTCTCTCTGACCACTGGTAGTCATGTACTTACTTACACAGGTCTTTCTCTCTTACGATTGTATGAACAGCAGGGATGAACAGATCATTGTGTATGTTATGGTTGTGTATATGCAATAGACGTATCTCTTCCTACTGAGCGCACAAACTCAGTAGGAGTGTGAGGTCTTTTTTTAAGATGAGGCTGTCCAAGACAGACAGTATAACTTATACTTTGCTTTCTCTGGAAAGGATTCTGAGTACGAGCCCATGACTAGAATCATAAAAAGAAAAATTTACAGGATTTCAGAACACATTTATCACCTGATATATAAAATGCTCTTTAATCATTTATGGCCAGCATTTCACAGGGACTATATAATACACTATTTCAGGACAACAACAAAGAAATGGAGCTATAGGCTCTGGCCTCTGGTAGTAAAGGCAGAACTATGTTATTTTTCCAGCCCTGTCTGTTCATGCAGTATCACTGGAAGACAGAGTACCCTTGTCTTTTGAGGTTGCATTTCTACTACAACAAAGAAATCCTAAATACTTAGTTGGGTGCAACCAAACAAACCAGTGAAGAAACTGAAATTACTATATTTTTTATGCTTATAATAAAGAATAAATTAGTTAACTAATTAATTTAAAGACTATTGCCCATTGTAGCAACTCATGTCTAAGACTTTACATAATTTCAACTGAAATTCAGTGCCATTGCGCAAGCATGAAAGTGCTTTTCAGAATGACTAAGTACCCTAATGTACTGTACTAGTGCACTGTACACTAGCAGTCCCACAGTATTTGACTGAAAGTGTAATAAGGTCCTACTCATTGTGAGCTGTAACAACCAAATCCAGCCACATAATTAAATCAGTTGAGCTGGAAAAAACACTGAATCAGCTGTGTAACCATTTGCCATGTGATGCCGTTTTGAATAAAAAGTCTTGATGAATGATTCTGTGTACTAGTTCTACATCATAAGAAAACATGAGGTGGATGACTGAACAGACTTGCTGGAAACTAAAATGTTTCTCACTTTCCCCCTTATTCTCCCAGTTTTGCTTCCCTTTTTATTGCAGCACTCAGATTGCAGAATGACAGCCTAACAAATTCATTCGCAAGCTGCAGCAGCTATTGGGCTATTGATTTTCAGTGTGCTGAGAAGATAGGAACATTCTGCAGTTTGAGTTGTGGTTTGAGGTTGCCTTTTTTTCCCCCACTAAGACACTTTTGGACTTGGTTCCAATGTGAGTCTGTTAGCATCACATCTTTACAAAATCCTCCTTCAGGTCTTTGGAGTAAAGCTTTTGGGTAAAACACCAGGAAAAATAAAAGAATGAGAATCTCATTGCTAGCTCTATAACTCGCATTCTGGGTGGCCTTGCTTGTGTCACCAGGGCTTTGGGTTCCTCAAAATATAAAACCATAATAAAAATACCTCTGTGCCCCAAGTTACCCTGTTGAAACACTGATAATTATGAAACACATTGGGATCATTAGATGAAATGTTTTAAGCAGGCTGTATGAGAATAGAAGCACTGAACTGCAAGTTTATGTGTGTGTTGCTGTTTTCTTTGCAAGGCCAAAATTGCTGCCATTTCCTTCTACTGCAGTGCAAGAGACAAAAAAAAATTGCCCTGTATGTATTTCATCTGTCAGCGGAAGGATGCCTACACAGTTGAGATATTGTCATTTTACAGATAATACTATTGACGTCTTGCCGTGTTCCCATGCTGATTCTGAAATATAAGTTTTCTTATCTATTTGTCACCTTTCCATTTCTGATGGTCTTATCTTGTGCCCAGAACCCCAATTTGCCTTCCTTCAGTGCTCCTTGGCAATTTTTGCCCTGACATGTGCCATACTGACACAGCCACCAGATCTGTATTGGGTTTGACAGGGCAAGAGAGTTGCATACATAGAACCTACATTGACTTGATCTATTTTTCAGCCATATCAATTTTTCCTAGGTAGCAGGGATAAAGGGAATGTTCTTGGCTAACAAGAAGATTGACAACCAAGTGAAAACTTTCATCACCTACAATAAAGGGAGAGACTGGAGTTTGTTGCAGGCTCCGGACACTGATCTGAGAGGAAACCCCATTCACTGTCTCCTAGTAAGTACCTGTAGTGGGAACGTGGGGGGGTGGTAATATCCCAGAACAATCTTTTTCTACCAGGTAACATAAGAAGAGAGCAGCTTCTCTCTCCATGCAGTATATCTCATGGAGGGAATACTGCGTATTAAAAGTGCAGTAGATCAGGCTTGGGCTGCCAGCTGGTATTACAAGAGCTGGCATTGTAATTGAGCTTAATTTAATTTCTGGAACAAAAAGAAGCATTGCAGATCAGCTTCCATCTGCTTAACTGATGATGTCCCCTTGAACAGCAGGTGAAGCTGGACTCTGTTTCTGCGCAGTTGATTCTCTGGACACTAGATGGGAGGAGTGAGCTATTGTAGCTCAGGAACTTTTAGGGACCTAATAACTTGAGACAGGCTGTAACGAAAGGAGAGCTCTGATTTCTTTCAGGCCACTCTGTTGGCAGTATTAATATTTATCATTTTCTCTTTGAGTTCCAAGGTGAGAATTGACACGTTCAACCAAATATATATATAGCTATGTGTTGGATGTATATTTTTTCTGTCTCTGTACTTATTGATATAGATTGACATAGAGTTAAGCCTTTAATCATCATTATATACAAACGATTTCCAAGACTGAAAGTGAAATATAAGCAGTGTGACTAGAATTGGAGATCTCTGTCAAATTAGAAAGCTTAGACTGATCTTAAAATATTTTTCAGATGATGTAATCTAAACACAGTAGTGGGATCATCCTCAGAATCCCAGCCTTTAGGATTTTCAATAGCTTTTATATTACACAAGTTCTAACATGGTTGCAGGCAGAATCAGGGGCACTACTTACACTGCTCTTCCTCCTGCTGTTCTGTACCTGCATGTTATTTTCCATCAGAAGAAAAAAGATTGTTTCTCATTTTGAGGCTGTAAGTTTGTTAGAATCTGAATCAGCATTATATTTTGTCCATTGTGGTATGTAGCTGAATGCTACACTAATCTCTTAGCTGAACCCCATGCATTATTGCAAGAGCAAAGAATAAATAGCTTGATATTTGGAGCTGTTCAAATAATTGATTTTTTGATTGAGCCAAAAGGCAAGCCTTTCATTTTCTCTCCAGTTTGGAAAAAATAAATAGGGAGGACTAGGGGTCAAACAGAAGAGTTATTTTAGAACATGCCTAAATTTATTCGAGTTTGTTTTCTTCTTCTAAGTTTTTAAAAATTGTAACTAAAGACATTTTAAAATTAAATCTTCCTATAAGATGGAAACCAAAAAGATGACATTCAGAAAACTTTGCAGACATAAAACAATTGAATATTTTTTTTTTTTTAAGGGGCTATGTGTAGAACCCTTTCTGTTTGAAATAGATTGTAATCTAATTTTAACTCAAGTGAACATATTTGGTAAAAAAACCCCACACCTTGACTTTTTCAAATTATGACCAATTTTATCAGAAACCCAATATTTTTATTATATGATATGATAGTGTAATATTTCGGGGGAGCTGTAAAGGCAGAAGAAATAAAAACCATGTGGACAACTAAAAAAAAACAAAGTGAACTCTATTATTATTCCATAAATTTGAAGTTTGGGTTCTGAGAAATGGTGTTTCTTTTCTATTGTTGTGCACTGACCAAGAGATATCTGACTTGCCATTGTGATTATAAATGAGCCAGAGGTACTGCTCTGCAGGGTCCTTATGGAACAGTCATTTGCAGGAACTGTGTACTTTATATACAAGAGTATGCTGCCACTGCAGTTATCCACCATATAGTGGAAGTCATCGTATGACTGCATATAAACCTGGACTGGGTGGTTCCTATGGAGAGAGTGGATTATGGCTCCTTTAATCCTTCCCATCTGTGCTATACTCATGTGCACCTGAAGACTCAATTGATTTCATTTAAAATTAGACCAGATATGCCTAGACAAGCTGGAATTCCTGTAGGGGTGGTAAACTATCAACAAGCCAGGCAAGGAGTTATGAGCAAGGGCAGAAGCGTGGGTACTTGTAGGGTCACAGTGAGAACTGACCCAGAGAATCTCTTGGTTCTTTGTGGATTGCCTTTACATTCTTGTAGCTCTACTGTGCACAAACCACTATTTAAACACCAATCATTTTTCTTTGTAGTTGCCCTAAGAAGTTGCTTCCTCCTGTGCAAAGTCAGTGTAGGCTTGTCACTCTGTTTTCACTGGAAAACAACCACTTCCTAAATGCTGACTGACTTGGGTTGGGTAGGCATTTCAGGTCCACGGGCATCTATTGGAATCAGTCCATGATTTCAGGGTGGAAAGGGACAAATCCTCAATGGACTTAAACCGTGTAGCTCAGTGTTTACCCTTCCAGAAGGAGAATTGGAAGGAACTTAGTCAGCCCTTCCCTGTGATAAGGCCAGAGGAATGTTTAGCTGCATTTATTTTTCCTCTTCCACTAACATCAGGTAAAACAGGCAAGAAGCCTCTTCCATTACCCAAACCTGTCTGGGCACTCCTTCATGTTTAGGTTGTCAAAAGTTAGTGGAATGGTAGCAGAGCAGTGAACATCAGCTGAACATACAGGTCCTGAGGTGGTCGACTTGCAAATTTGCAAGAAAGCAAATGGATGAAATCTGAACTAACCTGACTTAAGTCATTTACAGGAACAGGCAGTCTGCCTGCAAAAGAAAGGGAGGTACAGAAAATGCACCAAAACCACAAAGTAAAATAACAATCTTACAAGAGAGAGACAAGCTATTTAAAAAAATGATTTGAGCTTCATAGTTGATGATGGGAGAAGATGAAGGCAAAATATGGAATGCAAGAATTCAATAAATGATAAAGACCACAGAAGTTGGGAGTGCATCCATAGTTGCATTCTGCTGAGGAAAAGCATGGATAAAATGAATTGTCCCCTGCTCTGAGACAATTCTGTTCCTTGTCAATGTGGCATAGCTGTAGTATTTGAACAGTTCATAAACTCTACTCACCACTTTAGCTACACTCTGTCTACCCCTGCATCACCAGAAGCTTTACCTCCTTACGTCAGTTGCTCCTTTTCCCTCTACATATCACTGTTCTTGGCATGATCCTGCTTCTCCTTATGGCATAGCTAAGTGAATTCTTAATAGTCTATTGTATATCTAACTTAGCTCCTATCCTTATTCCACAGCAGAGACTAATGCTTTCACACTGCTTGTTTTCAGCATAATTGTCTCTAGCAATAGCTTGGGACACAGCAGTGATGTATGTTCCAGCTTGTTGGCAGAAAGGGATCTGCCCTTTCCCAGAGTGACCTGTGAGCGCACTGCTGTGTTCTCTGTGCATCTGGTCTTTAAACAGCAGTTAAGGAAGAGTTAATGAAGAAATAAGTACATAGCAGATAAGTTGGCAGCTAGAAAAGTTAAGAGGGAATCTGGTTGAAACACAAAGTGAGCCAGATGGAACCATCCCCCTCGTGACAGTATGCTCGAGGTGGTTTTTTCAAAGAATTTCTTTGAGCCTTTTTTTTTTCATTTTTGTGAGATGGCTCTGAATAATGAGGATGGAGGAAAGCAATGAAATTCCATCTAATCCGAAGGTTTTATTTTTCTTGTTTATACCACTTGTTTTCTACGCTGAATCCACTTAATCTTCATAAGATAGCTGCCAAGGTATTATATCCCAAAGATGCTGGGTTTGTTTGATACTTATCTTGTGCTGTGAAGTGGTTAACTGAGGAGTAGTTCTCTTGCAAGTTATGGGTATCTGTCTAGGAGAGTTAATCAATTAGCTTTCAAGGATAGTCTTGTAGTTAAAACACAGGGCTGAATCTCAGGAGAATCTAGATTCAATTTTTAGGCCTATCTGCAGTTTCCTATGTGACCTTGGGCAAGTAATTTATTTTCTCTGTGCCTCCCTTCCCTAGACTTCTGTTTATTCGCTCCCACATTTTGTTTGTCTTGTCTATATGGATTATAAGGAATTCAGGACAAAGACCCATTTCTTGTAAGCAGGGGCATTCATGCCGTCAGCTATAGAATAATTTAAGCATCCAAGTGAGGTGTTTTGAATACCTTTCATGTAAGTGTTTTTCTTTCTTCATTGCTCCTTGCTGTCGCAGGGCAGCAAATACTGTGCCTGCCCCTAGGTTTGAGAATGGTGTCTAGCATCATCCTTGTGTTGTAATACTTTGCCCCACTTCTGATCAGGGACAGTTACTAATAGCTGGTTTTGTACTTGTTATGCCATTGGACATGGTTCAGGTGGGCTTTGTAGAACAGCCAAGAAGTGGGTTTGTGGGTATGTATAAGAAATTTTACTAAGGGCTGATGAGCCTGCTGAGAGGGGAGCATAAAAATGCTGTCTTGAAAATATTAGGAAGCAAGTAATGAACTCCAGCATGACTGTAAAAACTATGGCAGTAAGCAGAGCAATGGGCTATGTCACTCATGCTTGATCTTCTACCTGGGTTGTAAATGCTCCATGGTAGTGATTGTCTTTCCCTTCGTGTCTGTGCAGCACCCAGCACAGCTGAATACTAGGCAAAGACAGGGAAACCAAAAAATGGTGATTCTGACAATAATAATGATTTCAGTAACCTGTTGGTAACAACAAGAAGGATAGAGACAACTGATGGAAATTCTAAAAAATGAGACTAAGATAGAAGACAAACCAGTCTGGAAAAATGCCTCTCAATGAACTGTATAAGGATACAGATGAAGAAGGTATCCATCAGGGATGGAGAAGACAATGCTGCCACAGTAAGGATGTGAGATGGCCATGAGCAATAACTTTAAGTGTTTGACTAGAGTAGAGAGGTTGGTTTTTACACTGTACCCAGTTGTAACTAGAGAGTGTAAGTATTACTACACTCCAACCAGTAATAAGTCATTCCACTAATAATACCATCTCTCTGCTTAGACAAGTGACTTGGTTTTTAATATTTGAGATATATATTATATTTCTGTGTACTATATCTGTGAAATTACACAAATTTGAAAGAAAACCTCTGGTAACACAAAGATTAGGGTCTAACAAGGTCTAATCTCTGTCAGAATGGGGAATTGGCTGAGTTGCTGCCATTAACTACGGTCTTGAAAATGCTGAAGTGGGCTTGTAATATGTTAGTTTTAAAAATATGTTTTGTATTTTGTCTTTTCACAACATGTGAAAATGTAAAAGAGAAGAATTCATGCTCTTGCAATGCTTTTCCGCTTCCTGCATGCATGTCAGCTTGATTTGGTTTCCAGTCCCTCCCTGCACCCCGGGGCTGCTCCAGTGGCTGCCCTCGCAAGACTGTCAGTTAGAGTTAGGCTGCTCTGTACATTCCACTTGGCAGGTTGTGTTCCCTTCTGCACCACCCCGTATCCCCCTTTTCTGTCTCGCATAAGTGAGAGCTCCCAGGCCTCCTCATCACCCTCATTTGCCTTTGCCAAAAATCTCCTGCCATTCTCCACAGGGAGGTTTTCATTTCAGAGTCATAAACACCTACCTTGAGATGGGCAGGATCAGTGGTCTTCCTCCAGTGACCTATGGGGCTAGGCACAGTGTTCTGTACCTACAAAACTTTTGGGGCTGCAGACCTAGCCTTTAGGCAGCTGATATTAGACAGAAAGACCTGCCTCCTTAGAGCCTGAAAGTCCTTTTGCATAGCTTCTTTTGTTCATCTTACAGAGCTGTGCAAGCTGAAGCATAGACTTTGCTGTATTTGTGTTCCTGTGTAATGTCTCCCTCAATTGAGTCAGTTTGTTTCAGGTTTTCTTGCCAGTATTTTTCCACCTCACTTCCCTTAGCATGTTTCATGAGGTTTGGAAGAAAAAAATAGTGGAAATAAAACCCAAGAGAAAGCAAAAATTATCAGAAATTATCAGAAATTTTCAGACTACAAATTTGGAGGTAATTGTAATGGCCACATTGGAAATCTGCCTGTCTGTTTTACCTTCTTGCTCAGATGATTTATTCTGTACCATTCCTGTCCTATCTGAGTACCTGACATACAAAATCAATAACAAATAGCTGAGGTTTCCATGGATGTATTTGTATTGAAATCTCAGAGGACACATCCAGATAGGGCAATGAAGCATTGTATTATACAACTTTTAGACTAACACTTTCCAGCCCTGGTATTTCTCTTTAGTGTAGTGCAGGACAGAGTAATGTCAGAAATACTCAGGGCCATGTCTTTCTAAGGGTGAGCTGAATGCAGTGATTACGAAGTAATACAGAAAGACACACTATTATTCTAAGTCTGGAGAAATAGAAGCATGTACTTCGTGCTGTGTCTGCTTTTTACTTTTATTTCCCCTTTCTCCGTAGCCCTATTGCTCCCTTCATCTTCACCTGAAGGTCTCAGAGAATCCCTATACCTCAGGAAACATCGTCAGCCGAGACACTGCCCCCAGTATTATTGTAGCTTCAGGTATGAAATCTTTAAAGATTGCCTGTGTATGATGTGCAAGCACTGACAAAATCTTGAGTTTGTGCTGGATGTGGAGGGTGTTGAGTGGCTTGTGGGGGAGTCATACCACCAGTACTGGGAAGCAAGGGAGGCTGTCAAATGGAAGTACTTATGGACCTTCAACTTGTCATATGTTTTTTTATGGAAACTGGCCTTCGACACTGAGGACATAACTTCTAGTCCTCTATTCCCATGAACAGTGGATTCAACCAGGGCATTTCCTTTGCCTATGGTGGTGTGGAGAGCTGTGTGCATTGGATCTTTTACATATATTTTCTTCAAACAGAAAGTCCATCCTTTCCCTCTCCCTCTTTCTCTTTCCAAAACTAAAAGTTCTTTAATTGCAAAAGGTGAATAAATACAGTTACTCCTCTGATTTGATAATTTTGGTGTTTATCTTATAGAGTGTTGCATTACTAATCAATGTTCATCTTACAGGTAACATAGGCAGTGAACTATCAGACAGTGACATCAGTATGTTTGTTTCTTCTGATGCTGGGAACACTTGGAGACAGGTAAATGACACGGAATCACAGGTTTAAATATTAATGATGGGAAAGAGAAGTAGATCCAAAATGTTGCTTAATTTTTGTTTCTTTGGTTCAGAGTATCATTTTACAAATTTATAGAAAAGGGAAAACTTTTATTCCCTTCTGAGAGGTAGAGAGATGCTTAAAGAAAAAGACTGAATATGTCATTAGACTTCATATAACAGAAAATTACTTTCACAGTTCTACTCAGAGTCTGAGTGCAGTTTAACCTTGTAGCAAAGTGCAGAACAGATTAAAATAATAATAATATTTAAAATGAGAGTATGTGTTTACTTTTACTGTTGTACAGCCCTTGTACTGATCAAACCATTTTTCTCCTGATCTGTCATTATAATTTTCAGAGAATTAGCAGTTGCACTAATCTACTTCTCCCTTGTTACATGTAGGAGTAATTTCGCCTAAGCTGAGTTGTCCAAAGTTCAGTGTCTATATAAACTGGTAATTTTGCCTAAGTTAATGGAGAAAAAGACAGAATTCAGTTCATCCTGTTCTGAAGCTACCTATCTCTTCATTAATTGCAGAGACTGGATGATGAAGTTAAATCAAGTGCCTACTGTTTAGTGACATCCCACCTGTTAACAATGCATTGCTACCCTCTAATGTGTTTATCCTCAGAACAGCAAGTTCTGTTTTTCCTATTTTCTGGATAGGATATTAAGCCATGGAGAGAAGGAGTGACTTTCCCAGACTGACAACTGTTGCTATATAAACTGGGGAGCAGATGTTTGCAGAAAGCCAATACAAAAAAGACACAGGAAAATAAAATCTTCTTAAAAATATTTGATATTCTTACAATCTAATTATTTCACAACGTTTGACCAGCCCTCATTTTTCTGTCTGTATCACTTATGTGAGACAGGGTCACATATGTGCAAACACGTAAATTCTTCTTTAAACAAAAATCTGTCATTGAAACGAGGGAAATTGTTGATACTTGAAAAAAATTAATGTTTCTAACTTTCTGTGAAGGAGAGGCAGAATGCAGTTTCCAAGGACCTGGAAAAAGTTATAAAGAAAACAACTCCAAAGCAATAAAAAAACAAAACCCAAGAACTGTGTCTATACAGAATTTCTTCCTCTACTCAGTAAATTCCTTAGCATATACCTGTCCTCTATCATGATTATACTTAAAAGGATACTATGGAAAATAGACTTAAATATATAAGGCTTTTTTCTAGATCTTTGAGGAAGAGCACAGTGTTCTGTACCTGGATCAAGGTGGAGTACTGGTCGCCATGAAACACACATCTCTGCCTATCAGACATCTCTGGTAATGACTCTGTCTATGCTAAATATCTGTTGTTCCTCTTTTCACATGCCATGAAGTAGGCAATTAGGCTACATCCAGAGTTTTCTGTAGCTACAATCTAGTAAATACCCATTAAGATACTGGCAAACATTAACTCAAGTAAATCTAAGAAATCCTGGCAATTGCAGATTTACATAGTTTCAGTTTGGCTGTTTCTGAGATATTGTCAATGTAATTCCATGACTTTCCTGGTTTACCACAACTTGGCTTACTGGATTTGGTTATTCATGTAATATGAATCTGGTTTTGGGTTTGTCTCTTATTAAATTGCCAAAGTACTCTTAATTTTCAAAATTATTCATGAACTTGTCTTCTATGTGTCAGGCAGCACTTATGAAACAGAATTTTGTTGGACAGATTCAGAGTTATATAGCCAGTAAAGCAAAATGTCCCCACTAGTTAGCACTCTTGAGTTTATGTGGTAGGTAGAATGTAGGATTGTGATGTTTTGCATGATGTACTTCCACTAGAGTCAGTGTCATATCAATAGTTGAAACACACAGACCCAAGACTTATGAAGTGATGAGTGGTTCTAAGCTTTCATTTAGATCCACCACAGGGAAGACTGCTGATCAGAGAAGCAAAGCTCTTGTGCTCCAGAAATCTAACTTCCTTAAAATGTCTTATGTTGGGGACACAAAAAGATACTCCAAATTACTTGTTTATTCAAAAAAATCCTAGCTCTAGGCTACATTTTACCCTTAAAGCGTCAATCTCTAACATAACTTTATTAGTTTCCACCACTTAAGTGTTGGCCATGGGTTAGCAGTATGATGCCAAACAAGTTTGATCAATGCTCTGATTTATGATGCTTCCCAAAAAAGTAGTTATTTAAGAGACTAAAAATGCAGTATGAAAGAACAGAAGTTGCTTCTACTTCTCCATGGCAGCTGTAGTGGACTAGAGAGCCTCTTCAGCTGAAGTGGGAGGAAAGAAGATACTAATGCTGCTTTCTCCACTAGGTTAAGTTTTGATGAAGGGAGATCTTGGAGCAAGTACAGTTTCACATCTCTCCCACTGTTTGTAGATGGAGTATTAGGGGAACCTGGAGAGGAAACTCTCATCATGACGTAAGTGAACATGCCATAGTGCTAATGTTAATGGGAACTACACTGAAAATAGCTTATAAGGGTTGTTCGTAACATAATAGCATTTCTGGTTGAGGACCAAACTAAGTGCTATCTGGAGCCAGGAGTATGCAGTCTTCTGTTGATAAATCATCAGTGTTTATTTGTGATATGATCATGGGAATGACGACATAGTTCCTTGCAAGCTGCAAATACACTATCACTTAGCTTACCAGTATGAAACCTGGCTCCTCAAATTGACTGATTTAAAGCAGAGTTACCCTTGACAGATGAATATTTGAAAGAAAAATGGTGGGGTATTTTTATAGTTGTGTTTTGCTGCCTCTTTTTTTTTTTTTTTTTTTTTTTTTTTTACTGTGAGACAGAAAAATGAAGATATCCTTTTGTAAAAATGAATGACAAAATGTTGCCTGGAGGCTAGTTCATGAAAAATTATGATTAGTTTCAATGTGGTATGCTGAGCTCTGCATAGTGAATAAATCTGGATTCACCCTGCCAGAAATTGTGACATTTTACCTGAGATCAGATCTGCACAAACAGGAGGAAAATTTTATTTCTGTCTGTAGAAAATAGACTGACTTGTAATAAACAGAGTATATGGATTGAAAACTAACTAAAGTTAATAGAGATGTATGAAGAATAATCCCTTCATGTTCTGATTTTAACTTGTGTGGAAGACATTCCCAGAGCTCATAACTGAAATATCAAACTCCTGTAGATATTACTGTCTCCAGCCCCATGTCAAGTCTTCTCTGTATAGTCAGAGAATTGGCATAAGTGGGAGGATCTTGATCCACAGAATAAAAGCTACATGTGATTTTTAAGAAGGTTGCAGGTATTTAGGAGCTTAAGTCTGACTTTCACTGTCATTCGAGTGAAAATCAGTAGAACTGGCACTCCTAAAGGAATTAATCTCTTTTGGAAATTTGTGGGTGACTGTACCTCTGTAACTACCAAACTCCATCTGGTGCTATCTTTTACTGTATGCTCTTTCTGCTGTGTTCTATAGAGTGTTTGGACATTTCAGCCATCGCTCAGAGTGGCAGCTGGTGAAAGTAGACTACAAGTCCATTTTTGATCGGAGATGTGCAGAAGAGGACTACAGGCCTTGGCAGCTCCACAGCCAGGTGAGAAGCAAGGAGGCTGGGATCTGACCTGTAGTAGCTGATGATCCTACAGTCAAAACTCAGCATGATCCAATGTCTTTTCCTATTAGGTTGATCAGATTGTCACTTACCAGATGGGCATGTTTTGTTACATAGGAGTGTTGGCCTCAGATTGTGCTCTGTGAGCCCCAGAGGATGAACAGCTGCCTTTTGGGTTTCATTCTCCATGCAGGCAATTAGCTTAGACTTATCTAGATTTGAGGAACGCAACAACAGCAGAGACACTGCTGCTGAAAGAAGCCTGAACTCCTGCAGTCTTACATCTCCCATCCAATTCCCTGTCCTTTCCTTCTTTCTCTTCCTCAATCATTCTCTGTCCTCAAAGCCAGTGTCTTAAGACTCTTCTGGCTGCTTTCACACCTGTTTCTCCAAATTCCTGCCCTCTTAGCCTCATTTCTTACTCACTTGGTTTCATCCTTGTTCTGTCTCTCTCAGCAATGGTACTTCTGCTGCGGGAGTCAGGCACTTTATTCCTCATTCCATTGGGCCCCCATGCTCTGTCCCTTTCATCCTGGATGCAGCTGCTGCATCACTCCTGGAACCATTGCTTAAGTGCCCAGCAAGGTAACATGCTCTGCATAGTGCCTGTGCCTGCCTTGGAGCACCTTCGCAGCTCTACCAACTTTGATGCAACAGCCTGTGTTATATCAGGTTAGAATAAAATATGGCCCAAATTCTGTGGTTATATAAACACTACAGGCTCCACTGAAGTCTAAAGTGAAAACACCCATTTATATCATCAAAGGTTGTCTTTCTGTATATATCTTGGTGGGCAAGAATTTAATAATGAATATGAAATGAAAATAACTTGACTCAGATGAGCTGCTCGCACAAGGCACAACTCCACACTAAAAATACTGGTTATGACTTAGATCCTTAGATGTTGAAAATCAGTATAGCTTCCTTGAAATTCAAGAAGACACAGCATTTTACACCAGTTGCCATTTGGGCCCTTCTGTTTCATGGGCTAATCAAAGCCATGAAAAGTTTCTCTTTCCTACAGCAATTTTAATAGAATAAAAAGTAACAAGTCAGACCTCACTGTATTTTGTTCTTTACTTTCTTGTGCTTGTATAAGCAAAAATGCCAAGGATTTTGCAGCATATCTTTGAGAATGCTGGCTTTGGAGTTTGCAGAACTACTTTTAGGAAGGCTGCTGTGGACTCATGCCTTTTAATTTGCTTTACATTGAGATTACAAGGCTGAGCCTTGTTCCCTAGATAGAAATATATACCAGGGTGCGGAAGATAGGAATGAAAAGACAAGGAAATGTTATCATGCACATAACAAATCAAACTCAGTAAAATGTGAACTCATAGTCTGTAAAATATTTACATGTACACGTTACTAGTTTCCACTGAACAAAATTATTGCCAAGGAGATCAGACCAAAGAGATAGACTTGCTCTGTGCTTCAGATTGCAGGTGGGGATCAGACTGTGTTTTCAGTTGCTGTGAAACCTAATCTATAAATGAGAAAAAGGCCTGAATCAATTGTTCATTGGCTTTGGAACAAATTCAGAACTGAATCAGGTATATAAGTAACCTCAGATAAATTTTAGTGTGTGTTGGAAACGCTGTCTTAGTTTCAGTTAAAGCTTCAGTAGCTCTAATTAGCTTCAGTGTACTGACGTGGCATTTGACTTCCCATCCTCTTCTCTTGAGGCACAGCTCCCATTGCACAGGCTTGGAAAAACTGGGTGATACAAATAGCCTAGTGGGTGTCAGAGAAAGATATTTTTGGTTTTGTTTCCAGGGAGAAGCTTGCATCATGGGAGCAAAAAGGATCTACAGGAAGCGCAAGTCAGAGAAGAAATGCATGCAAGGAAAATACGCTGGGGCTATGACCTCGGAACCATGCGTGTGCACAGAGGCAGACTTTGACTGGTGAGTGATGAGTACAAGAGCTGTGTGCTTTTTACTACACCAATGCAGAGCTCACTAGAGAGGCTGTAGACTTGTAGAGAGTAGATATTAATAAGCATGTAAGTGACTAAAGAGGTTGCTCCCTGATAGTGCAGGTATGTCAAAAGAAAGAAAGGGGGAATAGATATCTGTAATCTGCTAAGGTTTCCACAAAATTGATGCTGCACAGACCATTTTCCAGGTAACATTTGAGCTCTGTGCAACATTAAGATAAAAGTTCCATTTAGCATATCTAAGCTCAGCAATAACCAGTGGTGGCTGTGAAAGTACTATGTAAGATATATATAGAGTGTGTAAAAAATAAATTAGATTCTTCATGCATACGCACACATACATATATGTATATAAGTGTAAAAGTAAATATATGCACATGCAAAGTAGGCCTTCAGCTTCTGAAAATCAAGTATCTAGGGAATTCCTGAGTCATTTATATCTGTACCATCAGGTTTGATACTATCTAATAGACACTGCCTTCATGATTTGGGTTAATCTCCTCCTGAAGCCTTTTCTTCTCTGCTGTATGCTACAGGAAATGGAGTTCATTGGTGAGTTATGAATGGCAGGATAAACTGTTCAGCTTCTAGTTTTGTTTCAAAATTTCTGCTGAATCAGAGCAATTTGTAAAAAAAAAAAAAAAAAAAAAAAAGCAGAGAATCCCGTTATTGAAATCTCTCTGTCACCTGTTTTCTTCAAGTCTGAGACAGTCCTGAGTATCCCAGAAAAGAGAAATGGTGACTCTTTGATGGTGCTGATAAAGCCCCTTTGTGTCTTACCCAGCTAGGTCTATGCTGTGTTTTTAATTAAACACTGTAACATCTATCCTGAAGAAGTTAATCTCATAAATATTTTGTTTCTTGCTATGTGAGTGCACTCCAGGACCATGGAAATTTACAGCATTTCTTTTCTCACCCTTCCATAACTGTAGTTACATTGATTTTTCTGTATAAAATCACGGAATCACCGGAGGCTTTTCCATGTGTCAAAAAAAGTAAATCTTGCACCAGTAATAAAAACTGTGAGCATACTTGGGCACTGATTCTCTGAATATGGTTTCCTGATGATTTCCCCATCTTCCAGTGAGTTCTTTGTTAGGGAGAAGACATCTCAGTTCTATGTGTAGTTCATCATGTAAGTGCTCAAAGGTCCTGGATTTCAGCCATTTTGCTTCTGGTAATGTGAAAAAGATAGCAGCCAACTAGAAAAAAAATAGTAGGAAGGAAATTCCCTGAAGATTTTGACCTTCCTGTAAAGCATGCAGTACAAAGCTCTGCCAAGCTCATGCCCAGGCTGAAGAAAATAACTGTTGGGTTTGACTCGTGGTCAATTCAGTAGTGGTTCAACCCCTTACACTCATAAGGGGGACACATTCATGAAACACTTCTGATAAAAATTTGCTTTCCTTCCAGAATTCTCTGAGAATGTATGTTTTTATTTCATTAAAACTGATTGTGTACTTTGCTACTACAAAACCTCATTGCTTGATGCAGACTAAAAGTACCGTGGTGGCATTTGCTGGTGCAAACATGCTTTTATTTCTTTTACATTCACTTTGGGGAAAATTTCTCCAAAAGATCTGCTGGGTTGTGAGAGAATCTCTATGAGAAAGCTTGGATGATTGGGGATGTGTGACAGACATTCACAGTTCAGACACACCAAGATCACCCAAATCTGTTGGAAGAGGCAGAATTAGGACTTTGCAAAAGTCATTGTGTTTTTTTTTTTTGTTTGTTTGTTTGTTTTGTTTTGTTTTTTAAAGTAGCCTAAGAAAAATACCCTTAAAAATACTGCAGGTCTCTGTACTAAGCTGACTGACAGAAACCCTTCCTGACCTATAAGGGTTTTCCTCCTTCTGATGGAATCAGTCTTGGTTTAGAGCAGACTGTTGTGATCCCCTCCAATTCTCTCTGAGCTCTGTCATTGTTACTCAGATCTGAATTTTTACTTTATCCATTTCAGCTTCCTTCCCCACTGCCTATGAGGAAAAAAGACAGAAACATTGCTTTAAGCAGCCAGTTCAGAAATATTTACCAGCAATATTCATCACTTATTTATCTACTTAATACAGTCAGGAGCATAGTTTTACATAGATTTGCCAGAGAAGGGCAGAAAAGCCACAGGGAACAGAAGAGGGAGGTTTATCAAGGAAGGAGAAAAGAGATGGCAAGAAAAAAGCAATGCTGCTGGCTCTACTGGATTTCTCAGCCCAGTTTTATTGTGCTAAGAAAGGCAAAGCTGCTACTGCACTGTAGCATTCAGCGCTTGCCTTGCTGAACTATGCAGTAGGCTTCACTGCCAATGCACCCTGCAGAAGTTGGTCCAAAGAGGCATTTGGAGGAAAATGGGTGAATGAATTCTTGCTGTGGAAGGAGGTCCTCTGTGGGGTCCTTCCTGCAAAAGGAAGAACACTTTCATCGTCCTCACTCATGACATTTCAGCAGTGCTTTTGAATTCTCTGTTTCTCTTTTTTGCTGGGCAAGGCTCTTAATTGAAGGAGATTGAAGGGTACATGTAACCCCCAGGCAAGGAGTAGCCCCTTAGCTGACTGCACTTGATTTTGCACTCTTGAAATAAACTGGGCAGCTTTTTACATTAACATCAATGGTTATAGGACCCAGAGTTGTATATAGAATTAATAATCCCTGCCCCAATCACAGTAGGACTTTCTTTACTGCTTAAACACTGAATTTGTATGGAGAAAAAATTATCTACTTATATAATACGCTTATCAGAGCTTGGAGTAAAAAATATATATCTGTGTGATCAGGTAAAGTGAAAAAAATAAAAGAAGTGCATTGCTGTTAATCCTGCAAGTGCTTTTTTTATCAGTTCAGGGGAAAAAATGCCAGTTATAAAAGACAAAGATTTTATAATGTTTTTTCTTCTGGTAATATCATAGAACTCGAGGTTCATTTCAAATCTGTATTCAACCCATGGTAGTTCTAAGAGAAAAAAGCACATTTTTTTATTGTTTTACACAGCAACAAAACTGAGTGACATTAGAAGTGGCTGTAGTTTCTCTAGCTTTGGTAACCTCAAGTTTTCCAACAGTAGTCATCTCTTACCATGGGCTACAACCAAAACTATCTGGGGACAGGGTGGAAGCGGCAGGTATTTGTGCTCCGTGCAGGGGCTGAGTCTCACAGCCAGAGGGCAACAGAGCTTCAGGAATAGGGGGGAGTGGAAATGTGCAGAAGCCCTCGGCAAGTCTGTCCTAGCAACGGCCTAGAAACACGATTGTCCTTCTCCGTTTAATTGATTTGGGTAAATGGATGACACCGTTACTTGTGTGTTATTAAAGCATTAATTTACCCGATTTCCTTACGTTGTGTTCCTTCCTGCCGTTTGAGCATTATTACGGCAATATCTCTTTAGTAGAAACACCTCATAGACACAGATGGAAATCTTTGGTGGTGTTCATCCTTCAGCTACCTGTCTCCCAGGTCCTTTAATAGAAACTTTGTGTTAAGTGTCACACTATCAGTGCTCCCTGTGAACCCATTGTCATTAATACTGAGGGCTTCTCCTATTAGTAATCCCATATCTCACACCTTCATGGGAAGTATGAACCTGTTGATGCTGGTGCTAGCAACTTTGGATAGCTAGAGATGCACAAAGGAACCTTAGTGAAATTGAGAAACAGGCCTATTTATCTCACTGATGACACCAGCAAGGATTTAGCTGTCTCTTTTTATTGTCTAGCACTTAAATTACACACCTACCTGCTAGGTTTATGCCAAAACATCAGAGTCCTGCATCATGAGAAAGTGTCCTGACAAACCACGGGGAGGCAGAATGCAGATACAGAATGTGATTAGACTCTGTTGGCTTCATGTGTTACTGCCTATTAGATCAAACAATAATGCAAGTGACGGTTCTGAAATACACACATATTTGCACCCTTAGGTTAACTAACTTTGTTTTATCATTGAGATAGGCTTGATTTGCTAATGAATATTAATTTTAAATTAATTTTTAGTTCATTTTCAGTGCTTGTGTAAAATGCAGGTTCACTATGCAAAGTCTACAGTGCATCTCTGCAACTTTAGGGGCCTAGATGTCTACCAGGCAAGGATTTACTGGAAAGGTTCTGGGGATTTTAGATTCCCAATTAACATAAGGTGTTATGGCTTGTACTTCAAATATTGTGATGCCATCATAGATCCATAATTCAAATTGCAACTGAATCCATCCTTCTCTGAGATAAATCCCATGTCAGATCCTATAGTACTGGGAAGTAATCACAGCTCTCCTTTAACATAAATCTACACTTATGCTGTACTTCAGTATTAGATAACTATATTAAGTGTGGGGTAAAAAAATAAAAGGAAAAAAAAAAAGTCAGAAGATGTTACCATGGCTGTGGCTATAGTTAATTTTTTTCCACAAGAGCTTTTAGCAACTGTAAACCAAAGGTGACTATAATCACAGATACCTCAATTCCACCTGATTTAATGTCTGAAAAGTTTGCAAAACACAGCGTACAAAACCATAAGTACCATTTTCAGTTTCTGGTGTAGCTGACCTTAAGGTGAAGCCCTTAGTGTTAATAAAGTCCTGTGGCTACGTGTTAAGTCATGTCTTGATTTTTAGAAGGTACAAGCATGGCAATCACTCATCTGACTTAACTGGTTATTTCTATAACTTAAAACAGTGTAATTTTAATAATTTTATGTGGATTTATGGTTCTTCCACAGCAGTATGTTTGTCAGGTCTATACTCAAGCTATAAGCTTCCTTAAGGGATTTCTTTTCCTTTGATTTTTACCTGTGCTGCAAATAATCTTAGACAGGGGAATTTACCATGAGCTTTGAGCAAGGATAGAGAACTTCTGGAATGAATTCCTAGCTGTCTGTAATTGCAAGGAAAAACTTGCAATCCTACTTGACTAAGACAAATAGGATTCCAGTTTAAAACAGTAAAGGTGGCTAAGGTAAAACTACCATCAGTGAGAACCAGATGATAGGGTGCTTCATGCTCATGGAACAGTCCTTGGTAATGCTGGTAAATGCTGCACTCTATTTTGATAGGCACGTTATCTATTTCACCTGAGTTCTCAGGCAGGCACAAAACATCATCAATATATGCAAATTCCAATTCTCAGTTACCAGGCAATGACTCGGCTAGCTGATTGCAGTCTAAAGCTGATGCCTTCCCTGCCTCCAGATTTTGCTATACTGGCTCATGCTATGGCAATCCAATTGATGCTAATGCTTGTTGATTGCTACAAAGCCTGTTGTGCCAAATTGTAGGCAGCAATTTGCTGTCAGCATCAGTGTTCTGCGTGCAGCAGCCTGTAGCCAAGGAATTCATTAGATTCTAAGACTGCGGAGGTGAACGTGTGGCTGGTGCATCTGTAGAGAGACATGGAACAGCAATTCATGTCATTTACTGGGATGATATTTCTGTAGGGCCTTAATGAGCCAGACGATTTGTAAGCCTGAAAACAATACTGTGAAACTTCTGTGCTTAGAACTATTTCTGCTATGGAAAATCCTATAATTTCATTCTCTTGACTTTGGGAAATAGGATCCAAATATATTCAAACCTGGTGAAGTCAAGCTTGGCTTGTCCAGATGTGCAGGTGCTACTAGGAACCAAAATTATGGCACGAGTCTAGACACATGTATAGTAGGAAATCCCAGACTGATACTACTGCATCAAATTAGACTGTGGGTACTAATCCCCTCTGAGACAGATTTCACTGCATTATTTTGTTTTATTTTCACCTAACTGATTACAGAATATTGTGCATGTACAGTGTTACAGCTTTTTAATTAGAGTGGCACATGATAACTTAGGAATACAGTGCTGCAGAGTGTTGACAAATGAATTACAAAAAAAACAGGAGTCCCACTTGTATGTAAATATTTGTTTTCTCTAAGTAAATCAGAGCAGTGTTATCCTTCATTATAAAGTGTATTCTGCAGCTATAATGTTTTTATTCCAACAAGGATGATTAGAGAAGCATATGACAGTGGGAGAATAGGCTGGCAATTAAGCTACATTCAGTCACTAGCATCTGAATAAATATATTGATGAAAATTCAATCAAAAAAAAATGAGGAAAAGACCATTTAGGTCATCTACTTCATTGCTGATTCCTAGACTATCTTCTTAATTACTTGCAGATATCCCAAGCACCACTGCTGTCAAAATGTTCCTTTGGAACAGTCATGCAGTCTAACGGCTGTTTAGGAGTTTTCCCAAGAGATATGTCACTTTAATTTTCTTTTACTTAATGTTATCTTTTTAATTTCTCATTTTTTAGATTATATTAAAATATTTATTTTTCTTGATTCAGAAGGAAAATCAGCAGGCAAAAGTAAAAAGCTGTGACAAAAATTCTTCTCAATGTCCTGCTTTTGATAACAAGTATAAGAAATTTAACAAAAATAAATTGCAAAATATTCTCTCCTTTTTTTTCTTTGTCTCATATCTTAGATCAGTACCAGACTTCTTAAAATTTTTTGATAGTGATGCATTAAATTTAATTTTTGTTTTAAGGCATCGTGCTGTGGTCCAGAAAGAAAGACATTTGAAAAAAAAAAGTCTTCATAATGTTAAACATTTTTCTTGTTGTTAATATTATTCTACAAATATAATTGATTGTACTGCTGCCTATTAGGAGAAGCTGAACCCAGCAGCCTGATAGAGGTGAGGCTCCTGTAGCTCTGTGATCCCTGACCCAGGCAGTAGCAAGGTTGAGCTTTTGTTATCGATAGGCGTACCTGTGCATGTATGCACACTACATATATGCATATGTGCATGGCTGGTGACAGAGACTAGCACAAACAGAAAACACAGCGCCCACAGAAACACCGCTTATCTCATCCTGTTCCCCTTTCTGGTAAATCAAGATTTCCATTTATGGAAAATATGTGCACTGTAAACATACATACAGTATTGATCCCACCAGTACCTGGTCTTAGACACCCAGGTCTGTCCAGTATCTGGCCCCTGGATTCCTTGTCTCCACAGCTGCTGACAACTGCACATCCCCAGTTGCCTCATGCATAGACATGCTGCCACATAACAGTTCACCTCATGAGCAGGTTCAGACATATATGTCTTTACACCAGTAGCCATTCCCTCAGAATTCTTGGTCTCTCCAATAACCAATTCACAGACCTAGTATCCAGCCCAGATTTATGACCACATCAGCACCTAGCTCCCAAGTCTTTTATCCTACTCACTGGCTTGTGTAAACACACTCTGGTCACTCCAGTTGCTGGCAGTTGAGGCACATGGGCCCCTGTGACCCATGGTTTGAGTCCTGTTGCCGAGACTTAGACCACCACACATACACTCACACAGAATAAGTAGCCCCTCACCCAGGAAAACAGAAATGATGATGCCAGATGCTTTTCCCTTGCATGGCATAATAATCCCTGTACCTCTGTGTGTAGTAACCCTGCTCAGTGATCTGCAAAGTGATTTGGGGAGAGCCTCTCCTATTGATGATCTGATAGGTCTCACCTCAGCCACGGACTGATGGCCATCTTGTGACAGCCTTGGGAGGAGCTGGGGTAGGGGCTCTACTGGCTCTGACTAAGTTGATGGGATTCCTCTGCCTCCTGTTTTTTCCTCTCTGCTTCTTTATGTATGATAAGTCTTCAATCACATAATTTAATGCTGCCTTAATCATCTTTTCTTAGACTACTAAGCAACTTTATACTAAAACATTAAAGATAATAAGCAAAAGTAGTGCAATTTTAAGGTCAAGAATCATGTTGCAACTGAAATATTGGAATGAAGTTGGTGGACTCTGTGTAGCAGAAATGGCATCCCATTAACTTCTCCATTATGGGCTATGGAGAAAGCTTAGTAAAAGGAATAAGAGTGATTTTCCAACCAACCAGTCTTCATTACTCAGTGGTTGGAGAGTAAAATCGCATGTGAACAGAATACTGATTAAAAAGGGGGTTTGTTTGTTTATTTGTTCCACAGTAACAATTTTTTAGCATCTTTGTTTACCTGCAATCAAACCCAATTTGAACTGTTTGTTTTTTAGTGCAACTAAAGCAAAATTAGTCATAGCTAAACCTAAATTGGGACGAAAGATTACAGTTTGACTCATTGTTTCTAACACACAGTTTTTGGCAGCTTTTCCTCTTCCTAACAAAAATAGAATTGAAGATCACAGCCTTCTTTTCCGTTACCAAGTATGCTGTTAAGGCCTTTAGCTGAGAGCTCTCTCAGTGCTGTAAATTTTCCTCTACAGCTCACATGATATAGTTTCCAAATACAATTAACTATTTAGCACTTCAGTTTTCTAAGATATGACTGAGACAGCAGTGACTGAACTTAGCTTAGATCTCTGGCTTTTATTATATTTGAGTCTAGCATGCTGAGAAACACTGTTAGACTATGGAAGGAGAACAGATAATGCAGTAGCTCATTAACTACCTGGTCTGGTTCTGCTCATTATTACTGAGACATATGTAAGATAAATCTACCCCCCAAAAAAAGCTAAACTGAGATGGAGAATCAGTTACTATATCAATAAAAAATGAGAAATTCTTCTAAAAAGATTGAGGAAACCTTGTATCAATAGTAGAGAGCATGAGCTAATACCTGTATTTGTTCATTAGTTTTATTATGCAACTGTTTTGTTTAATGTTAAAACAGTGATTATGGATATGAACGTCACAGCAATGGACAGTGTTTACCAGCATTTTGGTATAACCCATCTTCCGTGTCGAAAGACTGTAGCCTTGGACAGAGTTATCTCAACAGTACTGGGTAAGTGGTACACCAGACTTTATTTAGCTAGAGCATCCCTGTGGACTTTCACCTAATGACAACAATAGGTTGTATTTACTATAGGTGTATCAAAGCAGACTGAAGCCCTTAAGACCTTTTTCTTCACTGTGTTAGGGTGCAGAGTCTGGCCCTGCAGATCTCCATCATGTATGGTTCAGATCCTTCCCTGAAAAATAACACCTTAATGAAACTTGGGGGGGAAACTGTAAGGCAAAGGCCAAATCATTAAGGCTCTGAAAAGACTTGTGTTAATATTATGTGGGATTGGGTGAGGCAGAAATGGTGAAAAACAAATTAGAGGAAAGAGGTGAAACTGATGTATATGTGAACCGAAGTTATAGATGGGCAGCTAGCCTGAATGCTGATTATTCTTTGGCCCTCTTACAAGTCAACGGAAGATGTAGTTTAATGTAAGATACTGAACTCAAACCTCATTTCTGATGCAAGTCATTAAAGCAAACAAAGGAACCCAAGTTGTATTTTGGCATTTTGAACACTCAAAGATAGGCAGAATTTGCTTTTTTCTTCAACTCTCTTATTTCTCTAGCTCTCGGGGGTGACATTTTTAGAGAGATTTGGTTCACAGCGGATGAGAAGTGGAGAGCATGTGAGAAAAGCTCTTAAACTATGCCTAATACTATAGAAATTGAATAGAATTCTGTACTATGTGTATATAACTTATTTATAATTTTATAGTTATTTAGCATGTAACATAGACCATCATATAATTTTGTGGCTTACACAATTTGTTAATATGTGGTACATAAGCGTGCTATGCAGGAAAATATTACATGCCATTAACAACAGTATTTACTACTTGTATGTTAGGTATATAAGGAGTGCTTGGCTGACACAAATACTATGATCTATTTGGGAGTTTGTTTTCTTCCAGTCTCTGTATTTTAAAGAAACCTTAAAAACACCACCCGGTTCCCAGTTACCCCTGTTCTGCTCCCTGTCAGCATCTTTTCCTTTGCAGATACCGGAAAGTTGTTTCTAACAATTGCACGGATGGTGTAAGAGAACGGTACACAGCAAAACCACAGCAATGTCCTGGCAAAGCCCCCCAGGGCCTTCGCATAATCACATCTGATGGCAAACTGACAGCCGAGCAAGGACACAATGTCACTTTCCTGGTGCAGCTGGAAGAGGTAAGCTCTATTTTTATGTTGCATCCCAGGCCCCATGGGTATGTTTGAGTCTGATTCGTGTCAGACAAAGTTTGCAAAGTGGTGAAGAGGTGAACCGAGAGAGTGTGGGATAAAGTCAGTCAGCTCCGCTATGTAGTTAGGGTGGAGTTTGCTCTAAAATGTAATGGATGATGTACGGAGATGATGAGACTGGAAGATTATTGCAATGCATAGGGTCATAGCTGGGAGAAGTTGATAAAAACTGGGAACTGGTTTGGTTTGAGAATTTCACAGTAGAACTGGAGAGTGCAGGTTTTAATCCTAATCTCCAGCCTTACTTGTGCTTTTGACTTCTTGCTGTGTTTGAAACTGCATTTCCGTTTTTACCTACCACTGACTTTCAACCAAACATGGCTAAAAGTAGATGTGCAGATCTGTCCCCATCGTACAAGTTTGTACATATTGTTTAGGCCTTTGTGGGTGAAATCTCAAGATGTCATCATCAGCATTAAGTCTAAAAGTAATTGCAAATGTGAAGCTCATTCAGACTCTGATCAGAACTTGTGTATTTTTACATCTGTAACGGAACTCGGTATGTCAATGTTCTGCTCCCTTCATTTATGAATCTTTAGAAAAAAATGATTAAATTTTTTTAGCCTGTTTTTTCCTTCTCAGCAGTTATTTATCTATGCTTAATTGTAGGCTCTCAAGTAATAAAATTCACAAAGTAACTATTTTATATTTTTCCCTAATCCAGTTTGATTTCTTTACACTTCTACACTTTTTCCTGTGTAGCTGGCCAATAAATTCTGAAACACCTATGCTTTTACACTAGGGTAGAATGTACATCCCTTTACAGCTTGGAGCATTCATGGAAATTACTACTGATTTTCCCCACAGTAAATGTCATCTGTAGTGGCAAAAGAGAAATGAGGATGACCTCTGGAGCTGAGTTTTGTAAGGCATGTGTTTGGGCTTTTACATTTCTGTTATTGATGCTTTCCCTGGCTAACAGGTGGCCTGATTTGTAAAGGCAATAACATATAATAAATCATATCTAACCTGAAGCAGTTGTTTGACCTGAATGTTCATTTTCTCCAAAATATGGTCATTTTATTTCAGTAGTGACAGTCTTACAACATTGCTACTGTAGATGCTGTCATAACAGCATAAACATATAATTTCATGTGGATAAATTATTTATTTCTACCTTTAAAGATGAAAAAAATATTTCCAAAATAAGATTCGAAGTCTTTAGATTAAAAAAAAATAAATATATCAAGAAAGATGTTGTTATATACCCCAAAAAACCTGCTCATTCTATCACTTTTCTATTCTCAGCAAAGTTTTAAAACAGATTAAGAGAAGGAGATGTGAAGTCAGTCACAAAACTATCTAAGAATTATGCTAATATTCTGAGGAAGAGACAATCATGCACAGTGTAGGACACAGGACAAATGTTCTCCTCTTCCTTCTCTAAGCATTTGAATTCACATATCCTGTAAGAATGCCCTGACCACTCTGTTATACAGGGATCTCCTGTGAATCCTTCTGTCTTTTCTGTTGATTCTGATCTTTTTTATAACTGTGCTTCAGTATTCACAAGATTCTGAAAGCAACACCTCCTCCATTAGGAGATGGAGTCTTTCTCATGCTGTGTATCAAGGAAAATGTAAAGTTTGTTTTCATGAGCGAGTTAGCTTCTGAGGAGATCTAAAAGGGCGGGGGAAGGGTCTTCTTTCAGTATATCTGATAAAGAAGTGGTTAGGAATTGTTCTGAGGGCTGAAACAGTATTGATCACCTCCAGCCTTTCTGATTACTCTCCTGGCTAGATGAATCTTGACTTCCTGCTCATAGATTTGTCAATATAAAGAGTTTACAGAGCAACCAGCAAAACTTTTGAGTTAATTTGACCCAATCTGACAAGGACTTTGGGCTGATGTTGCAGCAAAAGAAATATTCAACAAAGGAGAAAATTTACCCAGCTACATGCAAGCTATAAGAGAATAAAATGTGGTTATAGCAGCATAATTGTATATACACTGGAGCGTTTACCAAATTAACTGTTTCAGTAATGAAAATTACACCACTGGAAAAGTTAAACAACCCAGCAAAAGAACAACCACCTTTTTAGAGAATAGATATTGATTTCGCAGAATCACTGAATAATTGAGGTTGGAAGGGATCTTTGGAGATTTTGTACTCCAACCCCATTCTCAAAGGGAAGTTTTTCTCTTGCAAACAAGGCAGAGGCACCACAAACAAGAACTTGCGATTTTCTGTTCAGTTTGCCCTGCACAGGTGTACAGCAGAGTACAATCCAGGATGTTCAGCATCCACAAAATCTGCGCTACTCCATTTTTGCTGAAGAGAAGGCACCAGACAAGTTAAAAAAGGCTGGATATGTCTGTGTATGCATGCACGATTTTTCCCATTGCCATATTAAGATATTGTGTCCTATTCAACCCTTGCTCTCTGGAGTGCTGGTCAGTATTTTTAAGTGCTTCACCCTGGCGCAGACTCTTCCTTTAGCTTGTGTCACAGTTAATGTCTTCTAGGTTGTAAAAAAACAGCAGCCTTTGCTTATGTTGTAGTTCCTTTGCATCTTAACATCTCTTATATCCCTCTGAGACAGTTTGTTTGAAGCCTTCAGGTCTGCAGAGCTGTTCCATTCGCTGTAGCCTCCCAGCTCTCTTTTTTTCGTGCCTATATTCCACTTGACCTGCAGGAAAAAAAAAAAAAAAAAAAGCTGGTGAGACAAGGTATAAGATGTTGTTTGAGATTTGTACTCCTATTAACTTTCTAGGGCTTTCTGCTCCATCTAAGGACCTACTTGGTTCTGAAAAGAACGAACTGAAGAGGCAGGCTCTCTGGAGGCCCTGAAAAGTCACTGCGTCTCTGTAGTGGAGGGATTTGCTAAGAGGGGAGGAGGCAAATGGCAGCAGTAAAAAATTGTTTTTGCTCAGGTGTGGGGTGTAGGGGCAGGAATCACAGTGCAGAGGTTTCTTGTAGAGGCTGCCTGTCCCTGAGGTGGTGCTGAGGACTGGGCCTTTGTCATTCTGAGGATGACATAATGTCAGTAAAAGATGTCTGAAGAGAAAAACAAGGACAAGTTATTCAGAAGTGTTCTGCTGCTGAAGAAGACGCAAAAGGAAAATAATCACTGGAGTCTCTGCAAGTGAAGAGGGAACAGGCACCAAAACCAGCAGCATGTAGAGCATTGCTGATCATTGAGAACTGTGATTTTGGCCCAGTTTCTCTAACCCTGACTCACATTAAATTTTCTTCTGAAGCTTTTACATCTGGCAGTGTATAAATATCATTAAAAGCAAAACCAATCAATAACTCATATTTAAATTATCTGAATGTAAGAATGCTTTCCAAAGTGGTCTAACTTTCCTGCCTCCTTTTAGGATTTCTGTATTACTTTTTAAAAACTATGTGCAAAGCCACTTTGCACTTAATATGTTTGGTTCTGTTATTGGAAACATTTGTCCTATTTATCAGGGTATAATCATCGTGATAGTGTTACTGGGTGACAACAGCCAGGAATCATCAATATTTCCTTTTATAATTGCCATATGTCCCATTGTACAAAGCATTATGGAAATAGTTAACAAACAGAGCACCATACTTACATTGGTAATTTTACTCTTAAATTTGCATTGAGCTAAGCAGAATAACAACAGCGTCTCTATCACTAAATAGCATCACAGGAGAAAACTATTTGTGCTTAAAGATACTACCAGTTTAAAGGTTAATTCTTTATCCTGGCCTGGGCTGTGTGCACAGACCCATGGCTGGTAATCACTTAAACAACCTGAATCTTTATTTTTGCACAGCAACAAAAGAAACCCAAAACCAAAAATTAAAAAGCCATTTTTCCTACTGAAGATCTTCAACCCAATGTCCCTGACATATTTTGCTCTTCTGTTGTAGAAAACAGAGGAATTTTATTAAGTGGCTGTTGTTTCTGCATGCCTTCCTCATCACATAGTCATGTAGGTCTCTTGCCTGTCACAAACCAAATTGTTATTTGTGTGTTTGAGTTATTGGTATGAACATCAGACACTTGTGCTTGCTGCAGCACTTCAGCAGAGACACCGAAAGCTGCAGCTTCCAGAACAATGCTATTCAACACAATGGCTTTCAAACTGGTTTCATGTGATTGCACATCTTTGCTGAGGAAATGGACAGTAAAGACATTCGAGGCAGAATGGTTCAGGGCTTTGGCTGTTTCATTACAGATAATTCACAGAGAAACTGCCTCCTCTAATTTATTTTTTATCTTGATAAAATGATAGCCAAAGGTCTTCTTTGACATTCCAGGTCTGCCTCAGTTCTCACTTGACAAAGTCACTCCACTGGGAGTAGATTTTGGCTTACTTGGGGGTACTTGGTGTTGCTATATGATGTTCGGATTAGACTAGTGTTTAGGGAAAGCTCTTCTGTTCCAACAGTTCAGGCCATGGGCTAGAATTCAGGCAATCTGAACTCATTCCTGAATCACACTCTGAGCTCTTTCTGCATCACCTTGAGTAAGAAACTTAACCTTTCTGCTTTTTTATTCCCTCATTTGAAAATACAGCTTTACTTTCTCCCTCTT